ATCAATTTGGCATTCTGAAAAATGATAATGAAAGAAAAAATGATTATTATTAATAAGGATCATAAAAAGATGGATATGATCAATTTAAAAGTTAACTAAAACTGAATATCAATTAGGGATCATAAAAAAATGGATGTGATCAATTTAAATTTTAAAACAGTTTACTAAAATTGAATGTCAATTAAAAATTTCAACCTCTAGTAAGTATAGTATAGTGTATGAATGAAATATATGTCATATGTAAAATATGTCACATGTATATGTGTTTCTATTCAGATGTGCCTATTTACTTTTTACATTTAAATTATCACATTATCTGATTATCATAATACTTATTTATTTATTACTGAACTAACCATGGCATTTGAAGCATGAGCTATGGACAAAAATATTTTCATTTATTTTTATGGTTCTACCCTTGCACTTTTTAAAACATATTTCACAGTATTTCTTACCTAATAAATTAAAAAACATAAAATAAATAAAAAAGATTTAGTAAAATTAAAATTTATTCAATTTATAAATTAAATTTAAAAACTTGAACAAAAAATATCATTGATCATTGAAACTGAAAAACTTTATTAAACTTACTCATCTTAATCAAAATGAACGGATCAGATGAAAGAAGAATGGCAATTATGAAAATTTATCCTTCGTTTCGAAACATCTAAAACAGGAGCAGACGAGAAATTAAAAACATTAAAATTTAAATGAAATTCAGTCTGAAAATTTTTATTGGCGAAGACAGCACATTTGCCTTGTTTACTTTTACACCAAAGATATATTGACAAACTGGTGTGTATGTAAATATATAAAATATAAAACACACGTATGTAGCTAAATATAGATCTATAACATAAATTAAGTTTAAAATTTGTTGAAAACATTGGTTTCAAAGATTTTTTCTTCCTTGCTCTTTTTTCTCTTTCGTTCGCCTGTTTTGGAACCAGGCCTTTATTTGCTTCAGTTCAAGACCTGTTGCCAATAATATCCTTTCTTTGTTATCATTAGTGATACATTTACATTTCTCATATTCTTTTTCCAGAATGTTTCTTTGATATTGAGAGATGTTTCTGCCGCCTCTCTGCGTTGTGATCGTCTCGAAGTTTGATGGAGATTGCCTTGTCTCCGTTTTTGGTAACGATTGTTGCCGTTGTACTGGTTGCATTTGTGGTGGCTGCCGTTGTAATGGCTGTTGTTGAGTTAGCTGTTGTTGGATTGGCTGCTGTTGACCCAGATGATATGACTGTTGGATGTTTCTTGTGGGTAACGATTGACGCCGTTGTACTTGCTGCATTTGTGGTGTCTGTTGTTGGGCTGGCCGTTGTTGTCCCAGCTGATAAGGCTCTTGGATGTCTGTCTTTGGTAACGATATAGGTGGCGGATGTTGTCCAGATAGTTGTTGCTGTGCTCGTTGCTGTTCCCCCAACTGATATGGCTGTGGATGTCTGTGTG